CATCCACAGGTTCCAGCTCCGCAGGGTTGCCGAAGAAGTCTGGGTGGATCAAAGTTTGGAGGGCAATGTGAGTAAGAAAGTCGTGGTTGAAGGTGATGAAGCGGTTGTCCACGTACCTGTAGTAGGTGAAGTAGATCTGGGTGTGGTCCGTGAGGGAGTGATGTAGTTGATGCCAAGAGCCCTCAATGAGAGTGATGGCGACATTGCAAAGCGCAGGAGAGAGTTGGGATCCAATCGCCGCCCCTTGTACTGTTGAAAGTAGGTAGTACACGCTTGGAAGATACAAGTGTCAAGTGCCAGTGCTACAATAGTAGTGATGTCGTTGGTATCAATGGTGCGTTGGGTGGGGTGGCGTCGGTGATGCTGGCCAATGTGGGAGAGCTGGAGGGGACCCCCAGTGGCGTGGAGGTCAATGGTGATGGTGGGAGTGTCAAAGGTGAGTTGCCACTTGGTGTCAAGGCGCTGTACTGTCTTGGGGAAAGGAATTGAAAAAGCCTGCCAGGTCATCATTGACGGCATGTAGTCCGATATGGTCTGGGGTGTGTCGAAGGTAGTCGTGGAAGTGGCGCCATAGTTGGGGAACGGACAGTTGGCCAGGTGCTTGGGGGAGGAGGCGATAGATCATGGAGTTGAGAACAGTGGAGGTTGCTCCGAGCAGTGCGCCGTAGTGGTATTGAAAGTAAGAGATGATCGTCCGGCCTATAGTCCATTGTTTCTTGGCTTTCAAGTGCACTACGCCGTAGGGCATAGTGAATTTGGCACGGAATCCCCATTTGTATTTCTGCCAGAAATGAGGTGGGAATGTCTGTTGAATAATGCTCGGATGCTATCATTGGTGTGGTCTGGTAGTGGCCGAAAGAGTTCAGGTGGTTGCCATGTGGCCAATCATCCGCAGAAGTAGATTCTGGAGCAGAAGATGCGGAGATGCTGGAGTTCATGGTCTGCGTGACGAAGGACAACATCTTCGCACAAAAACTGTTGTAGTTGCTTGATGGATCGTGCGGTGACTTCGACCTATACGCCCGGCCTTGATTACCTAGCTGAATGAATGTGATATGTACACGCGTGAGATTCCAAGCTGGAGTTGATCTCAGTGAGCCCTGCGGCATTTAGTCGGCTGTCTCATGCATAACGGAAAATCAGTCAGAATCGGTGGGAAGTTCACAAGAAGGACAGGAGGAGTCAGTGGGGATCCCCCAGGATCTGGGTCTATGCACATGCTGCGCCCCTCAGTGGGGATCACACCACAGCCCTCAGTGGGACTCTGTGGCGACACACACTTAGAGAGTTGCTCGCAAGAGCTCAATCGGCAGTGAAGTTCCACTTGACTTGGTAGAACGGAAAGATGCGGAACTGCAAGGCGATGAAGTCCGCTTATTTGAAGGTGTTTTGACAAGTTTTCGCCCAGCTCATTAGTCTGTTACTGCAAAACACCGCAGTGGACAGCTTGTTCAAAAGTTTCAACATGCATTGCAGGTACGTGAGTCAGGCGTCCCTGATTCATATCACAGGAAATCCATGGTGTCTTCGTTGGATGCCGACCATGGAAATCCCCGGCATCCCCCTGCTGAATGTTGTACGAAAGAAAGAAAGGTAACATTGAAAGACAGGTGTTGACACAAACACACACACACACACACACACGCGCGCGTAAGATGCAGCAAAGTATTTCTGTAGGTATTTTTTCTCGTGGGGGTCGACATTCCATTTGCGCATACTTTGCAAACCGCAAAGTGCAAGGTGACACGCGCAGCTACACATTCACCTTTCAGTTTTCGACAAGATTTGTCAATGTGGCACGCTGCCGATAGGTTTCTTGAGGGCGGACTTTAACTAGTTGTCCCATGTGAATGTGAACTTGTGAGAGGAGGACAAAGATGCGATGAAGGTATTGCAAGAACTACAGATAGATGCGAGCCAGGTTTTCTTGGACTATTCCAAGAAACTAGGGGAAGGCAACTGGACGAAGGTGTATGCTGGACAGTACAAGGGGAAGATGGTGGCCCTCAAGATAGCTTCCAAGGATGAGAAAGAAATCAAGAGAGAATTGAGCATCCTCTCCCGCCTTAGCCACGACAACATTGTCAAGCTGCATGGTGCATGTCGCAAAGATGGCAAACTGCTCGGAGTGCTCGAGATATGTGCCAAAGGATGCTTGGAGAACATCATTCAAGGTGAGCAGGCAATGTTGACAGTGTCAAGAAGACACAGCATGGCCATGGACATTGCACTGGGACTCTCTTTTCTGCATGAATCTCGAGTATTTCACAGTGATTTGAAGGTTGCCAACATTCTTGTCACAGAAGACTACAAGTGCAAAATAGCAGATTTCAACTTGTCCAAGCGCATCCCTGAAGGCAAAGATACATTCTATGCGAGAGGAGGCACAACCCTCTATTCCTCCCCAGAGGTAATGCAGGGGAAGTCCGCCAGTTTTGCTTCGGACATCTACTCTTTAGGCCTATGCCTGTTTGAATTGCTGACGTTGCAGCGCTATTCCGACTTGGTCGAGCAGATGGGCGGGCGTGAGCTCCTGAGGCTGTTGAGGAAAGGAACCATGCAAGTAGAGCTCACTGGTTGGCCAGAGGATTTCAAGATGCTGCAGCAAACAGTCACCGACTGCTGTGCGACTTCTTCTACCTGCAGACCTTCTGCAGCAGAAGTGCTGGTTTGCTTGCAGTCAATAGTCGACAACCGAGAATATGCCCCTGCTGCTCCACCATTGGCACAGTGCAGGACGGAGAGCCCTGCCCCAGAACAGCGCTTGGAAGACGACCAGCAGTCTGCGTCAGCCACTCTCCAGCCGGCCCACTCCGCAGCACAGAGACCTACCAGAGCTCAGTTGCAACTTGGGGGCTTCGCAGTCATCACTGAGTGCCGTCATCCTGGACATGGTTGCCTCGTATCCTTGCAGCAGCACCACCCTGGGTCAGGCAGGTGGCTAGTGCGGTGCGGCCATCGAATTGTATGGGTGGCCGAAAATAGCTTGCAAGCTGTGAAGATTCACCCTGCTTTTCGACCTTGTTCTCATGCCCCGCGACCCCAGGCCTTCCTTTTTCCCCGGCATTTTCCAGGAAGAAGGACCATCCCTGCTTCTCTAGTCCCAGCAGCTCCGCGGGTTGAAGAAGTCCGGGAAAGCGAGACATTTGAAGATGAGATGCCTACAATAGTGGAGGAACAGAGTGATGAAGAGCAGGAGGGGTCGCATCACAGCGACTCCGCATCCGAGCTTAGCCAGGAGTTTCCTCGGTACCCTTTGAACAATGCAACAGAGGGACCAGATGATTGGTCGTCGGATGATGAGCGGCATGATCAGAATCTTGCTCTGAAAAGTTACAGTCATCATTTGACAACCCAAGGCTTTCACCACCGTACCTCAACACATGCATTCTTTGCGAGTTAGTATTGGTGTTTGTTTTCTTAACCTAAGGAACGATCGAGGAGACACATTGGCTCCAGATACTGAAGAAACAGCTTGGGCAACATGTCAAGAGCAGGGTGAGACGAAGTGCAAGAGCTTCGCCTACTGCTTTGACTTCCCCTACTACCATGGGATCAAACGGAGTGAAGTTGCTTTGTTTGATATTCGAGATGCTGCCCTCGAACAGCATGTGAGGTTCCACCATGGAGACCGCTTAAAGCGCCATGATGGCCGCTTTTTCACAGTCATTGGTGTGAAGTTGAATGAGGAGGGCAAACCAAAAGTCTACACCCAAGCTGATGACGATGCAGGAGCTGGATTCCATGATGGTGATTTTTCCATATTTGAAACAGTTGGCAGCCTCACTGTCACCCGCGCTGAGCCAAAGTCATCTGCGTCACCTCAGTTTGACTCCTCAGACAAGACCCTCCTGAGATTGCTGAGGGATGTGAAGGCTGGGGGATTAAGACACAAGCATAGAAAGCGACTACATGAGCTTGTGAAGGGCTTGGCACCAAGAGACGATTTCAGCACCAAAGTCCCACAACTACAACAATTTGACTTGAAGCCAGAATTCTCGGTGAAGCTTCGAACGAGCCGTCGAGTTGGGGGCTCAGTTGGCTCAGGGCGAAAGACACTTGATCAATGTTCTGAAGAACCTTTCTGAGTAGGAGCTCATGGCTTGCAAAGGGCCAACAAAGCTGGGCAGTTGGGATTCTCGGGGCTCCCAAGCGCACAAACAGGAACAAACATTGAACGTGACCTCTCACACGTGGCAACACATGAAACGGAAAGTGAGTTTGCAACAATTGCATCATTAATTATGATTCATTATGCCTAAGAATGCGCAGACGCGCTCGCTGCCAAAAATCAAATGTAACAACTGCCGGTAATCTGCGAGATGTAGAACCTGGAAACTCCATAGAGCAGCCTTATGCAAAGAAATGCGGGGGAACGCAACGGATTGGATATCCACGCTAAGTGGATGGTTCCCTTTGATTTTGTGATGCGCACCCTTGCGGACCCTTGCGGTGCTGATAGAAGCCACGAACCCGAATGCACACACGTTCGACGAGTATAATATGGCTGGAGAGAAATAAGTCCAAACGCAGCAGACATTCCTGTAGGATACTCTTGTAGGGCACTCTTGAGGGACACTTCATCGTCATTCCTGTTTCCCGACTTCATGACAGCAAGGTCACGCCATCACACATCGCATCGTGACATCAGTGTTCATCATATGTAGTGTATTATTTGTTTCGGGCCACACTGTCGTGTAGTTGTGGTGTTTTCGCTAGGGTACTTGCCTTTCGTTTCATGCAACAAACACCCATAGCCAGTGCCACAGACAAGAGCTGTGCCCCAAAATGACAAAACCCCACAATTCAATACAATTCACAATCTGTCGAATTGCAACCACAATTCGCACGCAGTTTCCAGGCAAAAAACAAGTTTGGCCTTTGCTTTTCAGCTGAGGTGGTTGTGTGCGACATCAGGCCGCAAGTGTGCGGTCAATTTGGATACTTCCATGGCGATAGGGTCTTGTATGATCACGGCAATGACGCCATGTGGCTCACTGTTGTTGGAGTGTGGGCCAATGATGGGGAACCCGCCCTCCTACTGTGGCGGGAGGGGGATGCCGGTGCTGGCATTTTAGACCCGTTGCCTGGTGACATGAGAGTGCTCGAGAAACTACATCCAAATGAAGTTCGTTCACGCTTGGGGGCAGATCCGCCCAATGTTTCCAATTTCACCTTCCCCTTCATGGCTGGTTGCAAACATCCAGTCGTTCGCTTGTTTGATAATTCCATCACTGCCTGCCAAGCCTTCGGGTTTGGCTTTGGTGATGTAGTGCAAGACAAGGAAGGGGCGGAGTACACGGTTATTGGTGTGGGCCCGCCCAGGCCCCACAAGCGGTCCAAAGCAAACCGCTGCTTGTGGGCCTTGCGTGAGGGCCGGGATGGAGCAGAGAGGCTCCAGGTCAATGGCCATCTTACCTTGGTGTCGAGCAACTCGCAGCAGCCCAAAGAGTATGGTCCTCTGGGAGCTTTGCATTGCAATTTTGTGTACAGTATCCATTGCGCTCTCGCACCAAAAAGCTTGCAGCTGAATTTGACGTGCGAAGTGACATTTGTTGCCGGCTCGCTGGCATGTCACGGTGTGCAGGGCTTCAGCATGGAACACAAGTTGAAGACCCTCTTGGAAGACGCTTCACTCTCATCGGCGCAAGGTACCATCACGGGTGTCCGCGACTTTGGTTTGAAAGAGAAGGGAAGGAAGGTGCTACGCTCTTCGCAAAGTATGGAGAGTCCCATGTGAGGATCTTGGATGTGTCCCCTCGAAGTCCTCTAGCATCAGGCAGGGGAGACTTGGGGGAATGTGCCGTCATGCCCGAGACCAAAACTTTGGATTGGGATGAGGCGCCAAGCGACGATGAGGAGTCAGTGGACGAGTTGAGAAAGCTACTGCGCAGAGACACCAGCAAGTCTGAGTTGATCAAACGCCTCATAGATGCTGGAGAACGTCATGCGCGCCAGGAGAAGGGTCCCCAACTTCAAAAACTCCTGCTCACCAACACATTGAACCAAGAGCGAAGCTTGAAGCGTGTCAGGGAGCATGAGGGCATTAAAGAAGGAATGCGGGTGCGGTCGGTGTCAGGCAGCGTTGGAGTGGTCACCAACATCGACAGAGATGGCACTTTTCGCATTGACTCCCTCAAGGAGACAGGACAAGGTATCGATACATGGCATGCTGCACGCAGGGAGATAGAACGAGATGAGAGGGCAGACTCAGTCAGGCCTGGCGCACTTGTTCAACTTCGTGAGGATGTGGCAACTCCTCGCTTTGGTTTGGGCTTTTTGAGCAGGTCTGAGATTGGAATCGTCGTGGATGTGAAAGAAGGAGTGGTGTATGTAAACTTTGGGCACAGGCAGCGGTGGCACGGCGCCCTTGATGAGTTTGACATGCGGAAACCATTTGATTGCCTACAAGTCGGGTCTCATGTTCAACTTGAAAAGCCAGACATCAAGCCGCGATATGGTTGGGGCCAGCTCAAAACTTCAAGTGCCATCGGCGTCGTTTCGCGCATCGATGGTGATGACGTCTTTGTGAATTTCCCTGAAGCTGATGACTGGAGGTCGGGACCTTATGCAAGCCTTATGATATGTGTGTGTGTGTCTCTCTCTTTTTGGAATCCTCGGGTTCACAGGTGTGCTTTCGCACTGACTGACTGATTGTCGATTGCTTTGTTTCTGAAATTTGTAAACTGTATCTGAAGTAGCAGCCCTGCATATCCATGAATTGTGTACAACAGTCCAACGACGCAGCCACAGCAATGCTAATATCATGGCTGACAAAAGTGACGTACCTGCTCTATCTTGTGTTGGATCGCAGAGGTTCCAGGCTGTTTAGGTTTCCAAGATTGGCAGTCACACATTTGCCTTTGTTGCTTGAGAGTTGGAGACTTCCCTTTCACATTCCATCGGTCTTCAGCTTTTGATCTCAGCACTTCATGGGCTATGCGCCGCATGCATTCTCACACCTTTGTGAACCTCCCCAGGCCTCTTTGAGGGGCAACCTACAGCACTCACTGTGCATACACGTTTAACCTATGGTGCTTGAGCGCGTGAGTCTTCAGATATATAGGTTCATCGGAACTGGCGCCCGCAAGCTTCCATAACGCATAACGCATGCTTTAGGGCTTTCATATCTTGAGTGTGTGTGGGGCTCCCAACCCAACCTGAAGGCTCCAACATTGACTTGAACTAAGGTGCAGGAGTGATGAGATTCATGTCAATGCTGCCGCAAATATGATTCGGCCGGGAGAACTTGTTCGGGTGCATCCCCGCGTGACCCACCCCAAACTTGAATGGGGCACGGCGCAACACAGTTCTTCTGGACTTGTCCAATTTATATCTCACGATGGTGTGGTCTCAGTGGACTTTGATGGTTGCTTATGGCACGGTCTGCTCTCTGAACTTGAAATTGTGGAAGGCGCAGCTGCACCATTGCTTCGAAAGCGAATTGCCATTGTGGTTGGCAACAGGCGACATGACGATCCAATCTATCCTGAACTCAAGGGTGCCACCAATGACTCGCAAAAGATGCACGACAAACTTCGTGCGATGGGATTTGACTTTGTTTTGCTTGTGCAGGACATTTTGCACAAAGACATCCACACCTATTTGTGCCAAGTGCAGAATCATGTCAGCCATGGAAGCATAGTTGTCTTTTACTTTGCCGGCCATGGCGAGCAGGATCATAGGACCCTCCTTCCAATGAGAGATTCTAAGTACAAGGATGACAGTACCAAGGTCGACGTTGATGATATTTTCCACACCATTGCTCACTGGCCTGTCAGGGACTTGTTTGTTTGCTTCGTGCTAGACTGCTGCAGGCTGAAACCTGAAGAAAGTTCTGCCTCGCAGACAAGAATCTCAGCAGTGACAACACCCTCACATGCTCAGCTTGCCGCGAATCAGTACTACTGGGTACACTCTTGTCAAAAGTTTCGGGTTGCTTCCGAGTCCAATCATGGGGACTTTACTTCATTGTTGCTGCAGTTTCTGGACCAACATTATTGTGTTCAAGAACTTTTTGAGAAAGTCACGGCACAGCTCGGTCCATGGCAGCGCCCTTCAATCTTGCAAGAAGGACATGAAGCTTCACAGATTGTTTTGGCGAGTGCAAACAATACCTACACCCCGGCGGCTGGCGGGTGTCAACAATGTCAAGATTCATCTCGCTCGGATTCCACAAATACTTCTCAAGCTTCAGACTTGGAGGCAGTGGAGCGCTTGAAAGCTTCGATTTGCCAAGGAGAGCCAGGTGCTATAGTTGACAGCCTTTGTGAGACGAAAGGCGTGTTGTCTCCAGACTTGCACGCGGCAGTCGAAGAGGCTGCTATGGAGTTTTTGGATGTGAAGAATTTGGGCGGAGTTTTGGATGCAGATAACTACACTGGACAGCTTGCAGAGGAGGATGTGCGGACTTTCAAGCTTATTTTTGAGGGCGTTCTCTGCGAGCAAAGCGAGACATCTCGGGGCTCTCGGTCAGCGCAAGGTTCGTGCGTAGGATGGATGTCCAAGCTGAAATGTGCAATACAGGCTGATATGAAGGCAGCAGATGCCGATTGGTCGGCCACCATGCCCCTGGTTTGCTGTATCCAGAGAGTCAGCCCCAAACTTGCAGGTGCAATCAAGATGGCGTTGGCCTCCTTGTCTAAAGCTGTCAAGCCGGAAGCCGAGGTTGTGCGTGCTGACCCACTCGAGCTGCACAGCGCGCCTCAAGCCTGGGTCGGTCAAGACTTGTTGGACTCTTTGTTTGATGAGGAATTTAGTGCAAGAGTGGCTTTCATCATGAAGCTTATGCAAGAAGGGCATCTGAACGCAGAGTCGCAGGCTGCGGAGGTCAATGCGATTCTCACCGACAGAGTGCTCGGCCTTGGCGATGGATTCAAAGCTGTGATGTCAGAGCTGTTGCGCAATCCACAGACCTTTCCACAGATGAGGGATTGGAAATTGTGCAAGAAGGAGACCGAGGTGGTGGAGCGAGTCTTGCGACTCCACTCTTGCCCAAAGTCCAAACTCTTGGAAAGCATTCCTCCTCAGCAATGCGCCATGAACATGCTAGACGTTATTCAGCCAATGGTTGCCATTTGCTTACATGACGGCCACCAGCAAGGTTGGAACCGGCAGTTTTGTGAGGCGTTTTCACTGTGATTGTTTGCTTTGGTGTTTCGTGCATGTTCAGCTTTCTTTCATAATCTCGCTTTAGTCTTTGTGCGTGTGCCCTTGCGTGTGATCGCAGGCTGGCTCGAAAAGCCGCTTGCTTTGTTGGAGACTTGTGGGTGGAAGATACGTCTACCATTGGAGCTCCTCAGCTTGGGGTGCAAGGATGAGGACGGTTTCAAGTTTCGAGCTAAAGGCAATTTCTTTCTGCAGACTTATGACTTTATGATCCGTAGGAAGTCCTCGTGGAAGGCTTGGACCAGAATGAGGCACAACTCATTCACTTCATCTTCCAGGAGCACCTAGGCCAGGCCGCGCTTTCTTTTTTCCGAATATTGAATTCTCCTGCAGAATCTGACAACTGAGCATCGGAACTCAGGCCAACGCTGAGTCAGCGATAATTAGAGACCATTTTGGTCCCTGCAATTGTGGGCAAGTTTGAACCGACGTTTATTCAATACTATTTTTACCTTTCATGGTTTATCTGAGTTTATCTCATCTGCCCACCTACAATTTAATCTTCTCAGAAGAAGAAGAAGGTATTTCATTAGACGCATTACATATTCTATGATATTCTATGTATAGGTTTTCTTCAACTATTGTATTTATTGTATTGATTCGCGTGGTTATCTATTCTTGTTTGTGCCGTACAATTAGTGGTGCCTGAATTTTTGTTGATACTTTTGTTCTATTATGTTAGTTGGATAATCGAACAGGACCAAGAGAAAAACAACAAGCAATGAAGATGCATGATGCAGTCAGGGTTCTTAGGTGCGTTGTGGCTGGAAGGTTCTCAAAAGTGTACAGTAGTAGACCAGTTCCCATGCGCGAGAAAAGGCTGTCAAATACCTTGGGACCTGACTTGAGTGTCGAGTCCTCATCACTCTATTCAAGAACCGTAACTGCAGCTCACCAGCAACTAAGCTTCAAACCACTTCCAGGATAGCACAGGCTAGAGTCTAGAGCAGCTTCACACTTTCACGGATCCCTTGGACTTGACGTAGATGCTCAGAAGTTGCAAAGCGTTCCACTACCAACAACAGCTTTGTATGTGGCGTCTCACAGCCAATGGTGCGTGCTTTAGACATTGCAGCCGAGGTGGGAAAATGCCAACTGTCAACAGCCCTTCGTTTTGGAGTTGTACAAAGAAGTACCAGAAAATGATGTCCGACGCGAAGCACAGCTTTTTGGTTTCTTTTTCTCGTGTATTTCGCTTCTTCACATCGGATCTCCTCCGAGAGAAATGCCTGCTTCTGCGGTCTGCTGTTTGCTTGCCGCCTAGAAGACGTCACCATGTGGCTCACTTAGTCCCACCACTTAAGTGTTTGCATTGCCATAAAAGCGAGGAACATCTACGCGCACTACACTACACGTGTGGATGGGGTTCAATGCTTACAACATGGTCAGGCAGTTAGTTGAAAAAATTGAAGCCTTCGAAGTCCTTGGTTGAAGTTGTCAAAGCGACAGGACAGGTTGGATTGACACTCTTATTGACAGATTCTTGTTTGACGCATGTGGTGTGGAGTAACAACTCTCCATTGACCTTTGATAGCTGAAGAAGGTCACCATTCCTGACTCTCACCCAGGGGACCCAGCAGACCAAGCGCCAACGCGGTGACCGCGAGGAATGAACTCGATGCAGTTCCCACACGATTCTTTTCACTATAGCAATTGCCTCCAACCTAATAGCAATTGCCTCCGACCTAATAGCGATGGCCTCCAACCTAATAGCAACTGGATGATCTATATTAGCAAAGAGCAGTACAATACAAAGTTACGATATGAGGGTTCCGAGCGCCCGTGCGCGAAGCGATCGCATTTTTGTATTCCTAAGCAACTATATGAAGGATCCAGACTCAGCTCTTCTCAAGGCACTGCGACTCGAGGTGAGAAACTAGGGTCCAAGAACTCAAGGCTCTACCCCAAGAAGTTTGCCAAAGAACCAGTGCGGAAATAACATGTGCATCAAATCCACGGCAATCTATCCTCGATCATATTTCACTCATCGTGTATCCCCGGTCGTATCATCAAAATCGTCGTCCGGTCGTAACCCACGCAGTACCACGCAGCGCCCGCCCATTGCCCAGCAGCCGTAAAGCAGGCAGGTGTTGATTGAGGGGAGTCAGTCAAGTTAATGGTGAGTTGGGGGAGTTTGTTGTGTGAGTGAGTGGAATTGACATGTTTGTAGAAGGAGAAGGAGGAGGTGGAGGAGGAGGAGAAGGAGAAAAGGAACAGTGGCGAGCAACACGCGGCGCGGTGGAGCTAAAAATAGAACGTCGGAGAACACCACAAGTGAAGCTTGCCGAAGAACAAGGCAACCTGTAAAACTACACCAAACCACCAACAGTATAGACGTATCACTTCCCCACTGCTAGTTTAAGACCACCTGTAGGGGCTTCCTAAAATCTAGATATGACCTTAGAATGGTCTTCCCACCAGAGTGTTCGATCGTTAAGCCAGTGAACTTGTGAACGAACGAAGCCCAACCTGATCCGGTGACGGACGCGAATGATGGTGAAAAAGAACAAACACATGAATAAGTTTCAGTTACCTTAGTGATTCGCCTTGCAACTTTCTTAGATGTTGTTGTTGTTGTTGTTGTCCCTTGCTTTGGCACCCAAGGCAGGACACTGCACCCCAAACAGTTGCAATCAGAGGATCCTTTGCAGTCTGCTCACTACAACTCCAACTTGATCAAATGCATGATACTCTTTGCACTTGGCCATTTGCACTCTTGAGAGGGTTCTTGGATGTTTTTGTTGGACTTGTGTGAAGCCTTCCTGCAATTCATACGTTGATTTATCCCGGGAGTTTTGTTTATTGCTACTCAAGCACAATCCCGTTCAAAGCATCAACAAGTTGCACCATGGCTTTGGATGCTCAGAGGTTCAAGGACAGCAGCGCACGGATAGACATTTGGGAAGGTCGTGAACAGGTTTGGTTATGTTCCCCAAGCTAGGGGCGGCCAAAGTAGTTTGCACTATGGTACAATGTTAACTATGTCATGTTTCACTGCATTTCTAACGATCGGGAAATTCGTACTTGCTGGTTGAACAACCTTTTCCTACTCGGCAAATCCATGATAAAGCGCGATATCAAACAATACTTGTCATGTTCTGCCTCCGGATCTAACACCGTAGGTACGTCTTAGCGTTGTTTGCTTGAGATCACTGCATGTGTGGGGTTGGGCGGGGTGGGGGCAGGGCGGGGGAACAACGATGTAGTGGATCATATTTGATGCAAGGTATGCTGCAATTAATGGGTTGCCTTTTTCTGTGGCATTTTTCTTGTGCCGTCAGACAGTATCATCAGCTAGAACTCGAGGGGCTCATGTTCTCATGGAAAGAAGGAAAGAAAGAAGAATGGATCTATCATAAAAGAAGAGAGGAGGAGGAAGGACCTTTTATTTTTATTTTTTTGCCCGCTTGCAGGACCATTGCCTCATCATTGTGGGCGACGGTGGAAGGGCCGATCAAATCTTGGCCAGGAGGCGGAACGAAAATTCATAGACTCGTAGAAGCAACATCCCACCCTAGGAGCGATGGCCTCCAACTTAATTCGTCGAAGTCGTAGAAGCTGGATTAAAAGAAGAAAGCATTGAACCATGCATCAACAATATTGCTGTTTACGTACATATTTTTTCGTAAGCGGAAGGCAAACAGTGGCATACATCCCGGACAATGTTAGACGGTTTTAGGATGTCTTTAACGGCCTGGCTGATGCGATATAACACAATTTTTTCATCTGATTCGTACGGCATTTTCTTCAGATCAAGTCTGTGTCGACCAATTCGTAATTATGCACCGCGTGCGTGGCCCGTTCTGTCCACGTCACGAGGCGTTTGGACATGTTTGGACCTAATAGCGATGACCTCCAACCTAAGCCGATGGCCTCCAACCTATATAATAGCTTCTTGTTCCTAGTAGTAAGGCCAGGAGCCCCTAGCTTCTTGCTAGCGAGGCGTTTGGCAGCGGGTGGCCGTTTGGCACACTTTCAGACCAAGGGGTCACAAGATCCCAGGGTCGTCCTGCAGGCCGTGGAGGACGCCAGACGTCGGACGGTGTCGGTGCCAAACCATTTAGCGCTTGATCCACAGCTTGGAAACGTACTTGCATGGGACGGAGGAAACACAGCTTCCAATGAGCTGATCTCTGTGTTTGTGATGTGTTTGGCAGGACGGCAGCACCTTCAACTTCTTTACTTGGCAGCCGCCCTCCGCGAAGATGGGTGTTTCGAAGTTTGCGCAAAAGTTGCAGGGCAAGACTCGGACCTTCTGGACGAAGAACGGCCGCGTGGTGAGAAGCGGTGGCCTCCACGAAGTGGTGAGAACCGGTTGCTGTAAACGTCATTTCGATCACCAGAGTTGCTGTGTCTTTGGGTCAGTTGGGCAGTTGTAAAAATTTCAGCATCTTTTCATATTCTCCGAGTAGTCGATGTAGTTGCACCCATGGCATTTTCAGCAAAGCGTACTGGGTGTGGGAAACGGTGCCTTGAGGTACGTGTTTGCACTGTCCACCACTCTTGGGACATTCTAAATAGAAGACTCAAGTCCAGTGCGCCATTCAGTTCTGGGCAGCTTTACATCGAACTGTTCAACTCGCACTCTGAATCGATGTTTCTGTGTTTGTTCCTGAAGAAAAGGTGATTTTGAATGATTTTGACAGTCACACATTTGATGTCGCACAACCAGTATTATTACTATTACTGTATTTCCGTGTCGGGCCTAGCAAACATGATCTTCAGACATGATAGACCTATGGGTGAAAAGTTGGTGTCTCATGTTGAAGCACCCTACTGCAAACACGAACTATAAAACATCATGAAAAGCAACATGTCCAAAGTGATATTCCAACAACACAGGTTCAAAGAAACTCAAGATCTCACAGTTTTGCTTATGAGGCAAGACTTTGCCAAGCAATGGTGTCAGACCTCATGTTCTAGGGGTAAGCAGTGAAGATGCTAGGGAGAAGAAAAGAAGTCTGTATCTCGGAGGCCGTTCCGAAGCAAAACAAGTGAATTGATATGCAATATGGTAATATCGACTTTCTTCTTAAAGGAACTACTTTTCAGAAGTTGAGGTGACTAAGTTGAATGCTCTCACGTCTATTAACTATGAAATAATATCAGCTTACGCCTTGATCAGGACCCTACTCGGGTTTCTGAGTCCTTTGGTTAGTAGACGACTGACGCATCGAGGTCCTGATGGTGTTGACTTGGGCGAGAACCTGCAGTCCTTGACCCTCAACGTCGGCACCGATGGAAAACTACGCCACTTGACCCTTACAGATGATGATGGCATCGTCCTCGTTGAGATGTCCGGGGAGATTGTGCTGGACGTGGATGAGCACACAGCCGCTGGACATGGATGGCCGCGTTCGGACTCGTGCGCCGTTGACTGAGCTCGGATCAACAAAGGTCCACAACCTTCCACGGCGCAAAGGACTATTCTTTCCGCGGATCTGAAGGTGACAACGTTCGCTGACTAGCGTTTGTTCTGTTCCTGATTCTGTTCAGTGCCCAAGAAAACAGCTCTTTGGACTCGGATGGACTTCGAACTGCTTCCAAGGCCAAGACCTATGAAGTGGACGTGGAAAACCCAGAGATCAATGCCTTCGGAAGTGGCTTAGTCAAAGATGGCCGACGGTGCTTGGGGTTCACGGCGCAGAGATTATCTTTGTTTGCACATTTTTCTCACGTTTTGAATCGATCTTGAAGCGGACAAGTTAGACGGTTCGTCAAGCCGGAGGAAGTGCCGGGAGCGGGTGGGTCCAAGGAAAACTGGTGGTCCAAAAGAGTGTGAAAGTAGGAGGAACATTCTTCGGCCTTTCCTTGCCTTGGACTTGGCCTCAGGTTTCTCATGGCGCTTCGTACGCTTGGCTTTGCTGGTACAACTTCTTTGGCACGCAGCTCGGATTGACGAATTCGGGTGATGAGTGATCCAGTGAGTGATCCCCAACAAGAAACCTCCGTCCTATGGACAATCACGTCGTCCCTTTCGGGTCCTAACTGCTAGGTGCACATGTTACAGACCTGCTGGGTGGTCATGTCGAAAGGTTTCGTTCCAGATCGGCCAACTCCTGGGCCGCCCAACTCGGTGTGTCCAATGGCTTCTAGCAGCAAGAATGCTCCTAGTAGCGATGCCAGGAGCCCCTAGTAGCTTCTTGTTCCTAGTAGTAAGGCCAGGAGCCCCTAGTAGCGTCCTTGCTGGGTGTCACTGAGGCTGCGAAGCTAAGCTTGTCGATCGCCTTCGAGCAAGACATCACGCCGGGCCGTGTGCCATGGGCCCGGAACCTGCTCTCAGCGCTGAACTGGACGATGACAGGCGGCCGTGCTTCGTCGGTGTGAGGTATGTTCGGACGATGGACCATCCTTTTGCGGAAGGAGATCGGTCCTCAATTCTAATTCTATATAATGAATTCTTGTTTCTAATAGCTTCTTGTTACTAGTAGTACGGCCAGGAGCCCCTAGTAGCGTCCTTGCTCCTAGTAGCGATGCCCTTTGCGATAGCTTGGGGTTGTACACTCTTTAGGCAGCTGGGCGCTGGGTGGTGTCTCGGTCATGTGTAGGTGGTGTGCTGGTTGTGCTGTTTTGTTTTAGAAAGATGAAGAAAGCATCCTTGCTCCTAGCAGTAAGGCCAGGAGCCCCTAGTAGCGATGCCCTTGCTCCTAGTAGCTTTTTTGTTCTGTTTTGCTGTTTTGTTTGCTTTCGCGATGGTCTCGGTCTCGGTCTTGGTGCTTGCATGAAGTGTGCGCTTGCCGCTTGCGTGTCCATACACCTGGTGCACATTGCGCGCTGGCGCTTAGGCATCATGCCGCGCCTGAATGTATAAATCATGCGTTGACATGTAATCATGCGTTGAGAGGGGCCTCCCCTTGTATTGGTTTGTATAAAGTCGTAGTTGGCTGGTGATTGCATTCTGCAATCAGTGCACCTTTGGCGTAGAAATTACGCGTTCGTCTTGCACTAAACTTTCCTCTTCCTTTCGTGATTATCGGTTCCTGTCATTTGTCCTTTTCATTCTCTGTCTGAGTGGGGATTGTGAAACGCCTTCCTTGGTGCGAATCTTTTGTTGTTGCTCTATTGAATAGGCTCTTCAGATGTATGGACTTCGTCCAGGCACTCGAACAGACAGTTCGGCCATCGGCGAACATTTGTTAAGTGCTTTGTGGTCAACGGAACATGCGTGCGGCTTGGATATTTGACTTGTTTGTTGTGCCTGAACTTGTACGATTGCATTTCAACATGTTTTGGGTTTAGTGGAACATTCACTTAGCGGTGTGCAAATTAGGTTGCTTGACGCTGCGTTTCTTGTGTCGTTCGTGTATGAGTCATGCGTTGGCACATGTACATACATCCACATCCACTGCTTAGGTGTAGTTCCTTTGCTTACTTTCGATAAGCCGTCCTCTTTGCTTGTCAGTAACAATACTTTGTAAAAACAATGCGCTTGCGTGTCCAAACGTGATTAGTATGGTCTCTCTGACAACTGCATTCATTGTACCTTTCGTGCATGAAGCATGCGTTCGTCTTCAACTGCACCTTTTGTTTGGTTTGGTGATAGTATCTAGTTATCATCTGTATAATCTTTATTCCTTTCATTCTTGGCCTGAATCGAACTTGCGCGCATATGTGAAAAAGATATCATTACACACACACCCCTCGATGGTGCGATTTTTGTTGTGCTGTCTGGATATGGTTCTTCAGACGTATACTTGAGTGAGCACTTGAACATACAAGTCGGCCATCGTCGAACATTCCTTAAGTGCTTCGTGGTCAATGGAACATACATTTAGCTTGGATATTTGAATTTGTTTGTGTTTTTTTGAAGCTATTGGATTGCATTTCACTTTTTGTGGTTTTACAGAATTGTCCTCGATGATCAACAACGCAACGAACAACGCACGCAGAAAACAACATCTTGGTGGATGCTTTGCTATTGGGGTTGTCCAGCTGGGTTAATTTCCTGAGCTGAGGCTTGTGTGGCAACGATGATATGTTTGATTTACGTAGTGTGGGATATACAGGAAACGGACTATGTGATGTTCTTTGTCCATGTCCACGGGGGTTGGTGGGTCACCTTGCCTTTGGAACCCACCAATGGCCTTAAGCATGTTTTAGCTCATGATTTCATGGATCATGTTTTTTCCCTTAGAATATTGGTCTCCTTTTCGGATCAACATGGATATGCAAAAAACACGGAGGCGAGAACCGCGTTTCGATATCAGCACGGGTTGCTCCATGCGAGGCAACATCGTGTGTACCGAGATGTGGTCCTACAGCTTAAGCGGGGAGCCAGCGTCGGGTGGAACTCATGTGGTGGCCAACTTGAGCGCCACGGTGGCCATCATGGCTGTGAGCTACTTTCAACTCTCTGAGACCTGCCGTTGAGATCCGAAAAGTATCCAACGATCCAATGCATGGATCTCCAACAGCCAATACCTGGCAGTCAAAGCCGGTCAAAACCTGATTACTTACAATGACAATAGAGATATGTTACCCCTGGAAGTGGTGTCGCGAAAGCAACTTCGATATTACTTCACTGAGAACAAATTCATCCATGTTTATCGTTCAGGGTCATGACACCCAGAGTTTCACTGCTAAGTTGTTCTTTGTGTTGGAAGAGAAGATCAGAAATAAGATTGAATTCGGTGTTCATTTGTTACCTTTTCACAAGGGGTGAACTGGAGTGCTGAGCGACTATATAGACTGCCTTAGAAAGAACTACCATTGAGTTTCACATTTTGTGCCTTGGGTTGTTTTAGAAGATACCCCCGCCAGAAGCCTTCTTTGAAGTCGATAGGCAAACAGCCCACCGAAACAGCGCTCATACGCCTCACCAAGACTGCCTGAGACTTTGGGATTTGCAACATGTCGTGTGAATGCTTTAAGATATGTTCAATGTTTTGATATATATATATATATTTAAAAAAAATGTATGTGACATCTATGTTTTTTTGTTTCCTGTCTCTGTTTGCAATGAGTTTGCAACTGAACAGACAACGTCAGGAATTTCTACTGTGTGTGGTGGGAGCCGCTTGCCTCATCGATATACTTTTCAAACATCCAATCCAGACACCAAGAGTCTCAATCTGTGTCATTCTGTGCAAGCCGAGTCTCTCCAATTCGATTGAAATCTAAGTTACATGTTGAAAAAAATTCTTTGCCAAGAGACCACGGTTCCGTTTCGGACATTGCTTTCAATCCGTGCTTTGTTTTATGTGTTGTTTGTTCCTTCTCCCATGCTCAGACATCTGAGCGGTGTTTTACTCAGAGTGGCACGGAATTTGGGTCAGCCAAGGCCACGGCCAGTTTGGCGACAGCGCCAGCCTTCCAATATTTCAACACCAGGGACAGTCACCCCGATCGACTTCTCTTGCCGCATATCCTGTGGACTTTCGCGCAGGTGTGTGGAACGGTTGGATGCGTCTCACCTGTTTAGAGGGGGCACACGGCGTAGGACATGTACTGTAATTCTTTCTGCGCTTTGTTGCAAAAGGCACCCAAACTAGCAATCTTGTCCGGATTTTTGTGTCAGTCTTCCCACAAAAAAACACAAAAACATATATCACATGCCATGCTGGAGTATCACATTGTTTCAGCTCTTGTTTTCATTGATCTTGTGCAGCACACACTGAAGGGTGAAGGGATGTGCTGTGCAATACGTTCGCCGTCTCTCGACATGAGCGTGGGAAATCAGCACCACACCACCAGTTCGTTGGCAGTGGCTGGTGACAGACTTGACATTTATCCTTGGAACAGATTTTGACACAAACAAGATTGGAGCACTTGCTGAACACGCCACCTCCCAAAGGCTGAAGTGAACAAATTGCCTGAGTAAAATTGAAACCCATCAAGTCAAAGTTTTCCAAATTACGGGCACGACGACGCGTTGCAGAGCAAGTCTGCAGAGCACTGCGGAACCTCAGTAAAACACGCCTAAGAAGCAGCGCAACAGGTCCATCCACCACATTGAACATTCTGCTATTTCAACAGTGGCTGCTGAATGTTCCGAATGTTTCCACCTCGTTTGAGCATCCTGCAAGGACTACGGGCAGTGAACGAGCCCCAAAAATCCAGCGACTTACGCAAGGATCTTCGCATGGTTTTACAGGTTTAAGGTTCACGTAAAGCAGAACCCAAATCTTTTGCAGGTTCGCCAAACCGAAACCAGAAGAGCGCGGCGACAGCAGCTTAAGCCGAGTGAGTTGAGCGACGCAGAAGTTGAGCTGTGAGTCCAGGTGCTCAGGTCGCTTCGGTGATGAAACGGAGCAGCTGAGGCTTTGTTGTGTTCGGCATCATTGGACAAGTCTATTCTCTTCTGTTGGAGAGTGGACAGAGCTGCTGGATGGAAATCTGAATATTTTGCATATTTCCTCGCGCTTCAATCGAAAAATGCGGAAAGGGCCATTTTGGGTCCATGGTGCGTTCCGTTTTGTTTGGGTTTGACATGTTCGGTTCGGGTCCGGCATCCGTCAGCAAGCGAGGCCTGGCAGCGTCCTTCTTTTTGCCGTTCGGCACCGCCTTTGGGGAGACGGGCATGGTGATCTTCACCCGAAACTTGACGGGACCATGCCGTGAGGTTCCACTGAGGCGCTGCGTGACAGTTTTAGTTTCTTCCGTGTTTCCGGTCCAGGCTTGATCGTCCTGATGTTGCTCAAATGAGTGATTTCTTTGATTTCTTTGGGGGTCGCAAGTGAGGTGAATATGCCGCGCTCATTGTCTACAAACAGTTTATATACTGGTGATATTGCTGACCTCTTTTTTGCATGTGGTATTTACGATAGTTCCTAAGATTCATAGGTCCCTTTTGGTTTGGTGTTCCGCCAGATTCATGTGTGCTGACCACTGCTTGCAAAGATCGGTCACGCCAGCTGCAGTCCCTATTGACTTGTCTCCACCTCATGGTGCCAAATCCAAGGAATAGCCTATGATCGGCTGGTGCACTCCAAGACACATGGCCGCACCTTTTGAGTTTCTGGCGGTTTTTCCCCAACATTTTTTTTCAAACAGTGCCATTCCCTAAGCAGCTGGAAGCGATAGGAACAACATTACAGACGTACCACCAACATTGGAATTAAAGGCGTTCACACAAAAACATATACAATGCTGACACTGTTTTGGTGTTCATAGTTCGATCTTTGTCACCCCATCATTGGCTGCAGAACTAGACTCTCGAGACTTGCGCAAGTCGTGATATAGCTCCGAACTTGACACTGTCTGACCTGCAACGAATTCATCACAGCAAGATTCTGAAAGGGGCGAGTTGATGCAAAACACTGCACTGGCACCGCGGTCATCCGAGTCAGTGAACGATTTGGAACCGAACTGAAAAGTAACACCCAACCGAGCTGGATTGTTTTAGGTTTAGCACAAGGTGTAGGCCGCAGGCGAGGTCACAGGGGCTAACATTATAAGTTAGTGGTAGGAGAAGCTACTAGTAGCAAGCGTTCTTAATCCTCACTCTGCCAAGCGGCTTCCAGACTTGGAAAGAGTTTCTCCCAATTGTCTCATTGCAGGATTGCTCTACTGGTCCAATCTCAACCTCAAGCTGAGGAAAATCAACGGCCAAGGGCCTTTGGCTGGAGATCAAATCTATGTGGCTGCGCCCTGCTTGATTTTCTCTGCCCATGGCTTTGCCGAAGCCTGCCGTTTGGCAGCCACCTTGGCCGGAGCCATCAACAGCGGCGGCTTTGCATGGGTTCCTACCACTTGTTTGGGAGTGCCTTGCTGCTTAGGGTGCTTTAGCTTGGTGAATGCGGTTTGATCGGACCTTTGGCAGCCCTTCGGATGGTGGTTCCTCTGACCCAGCGAGAAAAAAATAAAGAAATTGGTCAGGGAGTCAGGCCGGTCAGGGAGTCAGGCCCAGTCTTCATATCTCCTCCACGTGCGACACCATTTCAATCCAGGTTGTTGCCGATTTGTCAGGAGAATCCTTCCTTTTGGGTTGTGTTTCGAATTCAACTCTAGGTTCATGCTGCTTGAGAATTCCATTCCTGCTAGCTTCGCTCCAACTGCTTTGCCTCACGAAATCCAGAGCATCCCGCAAAGGGCGCCGTGCGTCGCGCCGTGCGTCGTGCCGGGACATTTTCTCCGATCTTGAACGAGCTAAGGTGGCATTGAACCTATCGGCTCGACTTGGCTGGTCTCGCTTCATGCTCATCCAGCTCACCAAAAAGCTCAAAGGGGGCCCAGCAGCAATGGCCATTTTCGCGCCAACGGGCTGGAGCAAATTTCATGATGAGCTGAAGATCTATTGTGGTTACTACCGGTTTCTTGACTTGATATAGAGCTATGCGTTTTTGGCACTGGTTCCCACTGGTGCCTGAATTCAGATGCTAAAACCACCTAGCCTATATAGTTGTTTTCTTCCTGCAATGATGCTTGGAATTCTTTTTTTGGTCAGATGCACAACGCAGATGCGGTCAAGGTTTGTGCTGGTGCTGGCGCTGGTGGCTGTGCGGGCCATGATTTATCAAAGTTCTGAAGTCGATGGCCCTTGGGCTCCCGCCTTCAACCTGTCCGCAACCGTTTTGATCCTCGGCTGAAAGTAATCCAGATGCATTTGCTCCAGCTGCTCCAGCTCTCCCCGGACCGCCAGTTTGGAATCTGGAATCTGCTTTTGGGGTGTGAGGGTGTGAGAAGTTGTGCGGGTACCAAACGCTGTGTCATCCCGACTAACCCTGACGGTTTTCTTTGATCAACACGAGTTGCTTGTCGACGACGAAATTGCAGAGGGACATATATTGCATTATATCAGTGTTATTTCGGAAGCACTGGCTGACATATTCTTGATTTTCCAGAATGCACAGAGAAAAAGGACACTGAATCACTGAACCACTGATGAAGTCAGATGATCAGATGCTTAAGGATTCGGCAGCTCTAAGAGTTACCGCTTTCCACAAGGGGCCAGAGGTTGTGTTGGCAAGCTGGTCATAGTTCAAGAGAACATGAAGGGATATGGAAGGATATTATAAGATAATATAAGAAATTCACTTTTTAAACCAAATTCTATCGCCCGTCAGCATGACCCACTTCATGCTACTGCGACAAATCAGGATCCCAGCGCTGATGTTGGCCGAAGTGGTGGAAGATGAGATCGTCACACGTGAGTTGCTTCCAGTGAACCCCGCAGGGCCGGGTCTTCTCAAACTCAACACGGCAGGAGATTCTCCCAGCAACGGAGACCAAAGACGACAAACACCGGCGTGGAATTGATGCAGATGCAGGTTTGAAGCCCAAGAAACAACGATTATAGATTGATGGATGACTTCCAAAGCAGTCCTTGGTCCTTGGCACGTTTGCTACGGAAAAAGCATGAAAGAGCCCCCTCCCGGGCCCTGCCTGCGCTAGGTGAACATGCCAGGATGCCTTGTTGCCAGAATATCCTGAAATCCCAGGTTTCCTTATACAATAGCTCCTGAATCGTTTGAGAAGGACCTAACAGTTTGCCTGGAAGTTGATTGCATTGGCTAGGATCCTCAGAGCTCAGAGCAAATATGTTACAAGTGTTCTTTTCTTTGCTCCCTTTGAAGGAAAAATACACACTCTTTGTACTGACAACAAATGTATATTGTTTTTTTATTCTGAGAGGAGACAACGCAGACCCGGCTCAGCTGATCACTTTGGAGCATTTGCCGAATGTCCCAGAGAAGCTCGGATAATCATTAAGAATGCAAGTTCCAACATGATCAGGGCTGCCGATGGCTATCAAGGGTTCCAAACATGATCAAGAACTGACAAGTTTGCAGCCCATTGTCTGGATGGCCCGAACCAAGCAGACCGAGATAGAAGCATGTTGTCGTTAGCAAAATGGGACGGTTCATTTGACATTGCCACTCACCAAATGAGGAATGACCCCTGGAAGATGATGGAGCTTGAGACATCGGGCCGAAGGCTGAGCGGGACACCCTTTTTGTTTTAGACATGGGTACGGCTATGCCAGGCCTGGCTACGGCCAACTCCCCCTAGAGGTAGTGTACAATCTCGTCAAGAGCGAGGGCTCTTCCACCATTATTCATCCTCAGGTCGTCCAAGATTGTTTGCAATGAATTCAAGGTTGCGGAGTGACAAGGCAGAGCAGAAACCACCGAAAAGACGTGTTGATCTCAATGCTTTTTCAACGCGCCGGACCTTCTTGTCGATCCTCGGATTTCCGAAAATTTCCTGGGCACATGTTTGATTCGTTTTTTCAAGGCAGACCAAACCGTAAACCTACTTGGAGACGTTTCGTTCCTCCGTCCCCAGAGAGCTTTGTAACGGAAGGACCAAACTGTCGACAAAAAAAGGGGCACTGAAGGCGATAGGTCCATATCTACCACATCTACTAGTAGCTGCTATTGGTTAAGTTCCGCTAAAGGTCTAGGAACTTCTAGGAACCAAATCATTACAGTAGTGCGAGCTATCCTGCGTCAAGTTGCTAGTAGCTTGAGTAAGCTACTGGCGACTCCGTAGCTACCTTCACTCGCGGCCTACCCCCCTAAAAAAACAAGAAAAGACAAATAAATCGCACCGAAGGTGCCGAGGCGTTGTGGAGGCTTCGCAAGAATGCTGCTGGATCAATCCGCTTAATAAGCTTTAGCTTGGGGGGCCCTTTGCATTTTGGAAAATGGTGTGTTTGTGAGAGTTTTTTGATGTTTTTTGAAGATTGATAAAAGTAGATATCTTCGGAGGTAAACGTTCGCGATGCCGGCTATGCAGCCCGGGGAGGTTGCACTATTGACATCGTGGGCGTGTTCGTTTGTGTGTCCTACCTGGCCAAAACAGACAGACAGACAGACAGACTGACAGACTGACAGACCGAGACAGACACCGAGACAGACAGACCGAGACAGACCGACGCACACACTCCGTGCGGGCGGCTTCAAGCGCGAAGCGCTGTGAATACAAAACAAATTCCTCAAGGTTAGTAATTTCAACAACTCCACCCTTGTCTCTGTGAGAGCTGCAGTTCCGTAAGCCCTTTCGAAGCCGAAGGGTTTGGTGATGTCATCAAAGAAGACGGAAGTCACGATGCGTGTGTCAAGATGCGTCCACGATAAAAGGGACAAAGTCTCCTTTGTTTTCTGTCAAAGCAACTTCGGGTTAATGACGCCCCTTTGAGAGCGCATGTGAGGCATGGCCCCTCTAGCTTTCCTGCCTACCCTTTTTTGAGCACCAAAAAGGCTAGATAGATCAATGGATAGATAGATAGATAGATCGATGGATAGAGCGATGGATAAATAGACAGATCGATAGGTAGCTAGATCGATGGATAGACAGATAGATCGGTGGATAGATCGATGGATAGATAGATAGATAGATCGATGGATAGATAGATCGATAGATTTAAATCAAGTCGTGGCGGGTTGACTGAATATGTAGCTTGTTTGCGAGCTCCTTTTGTATTGCAGATCCACCAGGCAGGCGAAGGATCCACGATACACAGACCTGATGTCACTGCTTGGGTTCTGGTGCAAGAGTCCCAAAGTCAAAACTGTGAATACTTCTAGACCCCAATTGACTTGCACCCTAGCAATCCCATACACACATTTCATGAAAACCTTAGAGACAGCCGGTTTCATTTTGCAATTTGCAAGGCTTAGAATGGATATAACATTTTGTGCCATTGGCGATCTTGGTGCCAAGAGGCGTTAAACCCATTTTGATTTTTCAGTCAACAGACATGCGACTTTTGGTGTTGAGCGGACGCATGGAACCTGGAGGTCAAAGATGACTTCCATGAGGAGGACGGCATCGGCATCAAGTGTCTTACTTAGTTTCATCTCCCATTTCCCACAAGACTCTCCTGACTGTGGGTGGATATGGTGAGTCAGTCACAAAAAACGGGTTGACAAGAGTTGTTGCACAGCCGTTGCCACAAACAGGAAATTGAGTTGGGAAACCTTGACATGTTTGAGTTGCATCCTTTTGCATTGCGCAACATGCATTGCGCAACAACAACACCATTTGCAACAACACCTTCACTCGTACGCAACACATAGACGGCCGGTTTCCGAGGCCTCGGCGAGATGGGCATAGCCAGCTGCGACACGGCAGTGACGCAGGCCACGCAGGCCTCCGTCCCGCCCCTTGGCCCGTGCACAGCCCAGCTGGGACCAATGCGCAGCCCGTGCACTTGTTACTAGAAGCGATGCACTTGTTCCTAGTAGCTTCTTGTTACTACTAGTAAGGCACTTGTTACTAGTAGCGATGCACAAAGCGCCTAGATGTTCCCAGTAACTTCTTGCTACTAGTAGTAATGCGTTTGTGACTAGTAGCGATGCCCTTGTAGAGAGGTACCGCCTGAGTTTCAAACATCTCCGAAATTGAGTACACGTATATGTTTTTATAGGGTCATGTCCCATGTTCCATTTTCTGCGTTTTTGATTGACACTCCAGGTAGACGCCCACTTTGTAGAATCGATTTGCAGATCGAGTTTGTGATTCTTTCGTTGCGGATGTGTCTCTCCTCGCCCGTAAGCGCTACAAAACACTGCGGAGATGGCAGCCGAAATCGGGGACCCACATCGGTCTAATGTCACAAGAAAAGAAGAAGTGCCTACACTCAAGGCAAAGTGATTAGTCTCAGAGATCACAGTCCTGTTTACTTTGAGGGGTACTCATTCCTACGCGATGTGTTTTTGTGAGATGTTTTCTTTGGAAGCTAGATCAAGTCGGGCCATTCAAGGACACTTCATGGACCGACCTAAACTGTTTTTGCATTTGAGTAGTGTGACCCCTCAACTCATCAGTCTTATATCGTCTTTTTTTGCAGGGGCCCCCATGAAGAAGGTCTCCCCATTCCAAAACACAAGCGACCAGCATGGGAAGTTTGCGCCCCTTTGTATGGAAAGCTTGCAAAGTTTGCCCAAGGAAGAAGAGTGTGTCCTTGGGCATCAGCGAAACCTACATGTGGGCGCGTCTGAGACGTTGGTTTGGACAGCCACGGGCCTTGAACTCTTCCGCCGCACTTCATGGGCTACGAGAGTTGCCCTTCATGATCCACGCCGCTGGGTGTGTGGCGCCGCGCAGGTTCGGAGTGGAAGACGCACCAAGCGAGGTCATGTGCTTTACCAGTGGTTGAGCGCTGACATCGTTAGGGTCCGTTTACAGTTGTTTGTCAGGTGCTAAAGTGGTTGTTGGAAGGAAACTACATCGTCACGGGTGTCTACAAACGACCAACTCCATGGTGGGTTGAGTTATGGTTATGGTTTTCTTCAAATCCTAAATGAGACCGTGATAATGGACCTGGTGACCGTGTGACCTCGTGGTACTAGGAGTCAAGGCCTCTGTGTCTTGAATGGCTTGTCGGGAGTGGTTCGATACAGCTCTAGTGAGCTCACAAAGACACACATCAGTTTAACATTGCAACATGGGGCTGAGCTTCAGGTTGTGGCCAGGCGCATTGAAATCGTGTTCTCGCACAGTCAAACCAAGAAGCTCACCACCTTCTCTCCCAAAGTTCCGCGTTATCAATGCTAGAAGCTCCCAACTCTTCTCAGCAATCACATGAGCATCGTTCCAAACCCATTTCTATATGTTTTAGTGTGTTTTAAGAAAGGATGGTTTTTTGTTTTGACTGAGCTCTCACTGAGAGTAATTGGCAGAAGTTCAGGTTTAGGAACGGTTTAGGTGTTCATATCTTGAGAAGACTTGCGAAAAAGGTAGTAACAAGAAGCTACTAGGGGCTCCTGGCATCGCTACTAGGAGCAAGGACGCTACTAGAGGCTCTTGGCCGTACTACTACTAGCATGGACGCTACTAGGAGCATTCTTGCAGCGCCAAGTTGAGCTTCATTGGCATCGTGGCTGAGTTCACTGCGGGTTTGCTGGGCCTGCTGGTGGGCGCCGGATACATTCGTGGCATTTGCCCAGAGCCCTTAAGTGGTGCAGATCGCATGATGGGCCTCCTTTGGTGGGATGCCCCTTTGCCGTGCTGAGGGGTTTAGACATCGAATGCTGAACGGATTTAGCTTGCTCTTCCTGGTCAATCTGAATCGATTGGCTGAACTTATTGAGGGCTCGAGTCTTCGGCACTCGCAGCCTTGGACTGTTGGGTGGAGCTTGCTGCACAAGCTGCGTTAGTCAAACGATGGCAAGTTACGAGCGAGACAGTACGGTACAGGGAACGCAACGAGATTTGCAACCCCTTCGTCGACAGCGGGCGCGCTCCTTCCAAGCGACCCACCTTTGTTTCTAACCTGTACGGCCGGAAGGGTGCCTCATGACCTGTAAACTAAAGTCCGGTACTAGCACCGCCCAAAGAGCGATGGTGCTCCACCCAAAGGGTGCCTCCTGACTGTCCAATCACCACCCTGCTATAGATGTTGCATTGTCCTGAGAACTCTGGAGTCTCCCCGCCGACTCAGCGACAGATACCCGATTTCATCCCGTGCTTTTTCCTAACAAGTAGGCACAAAGCGTCGGTGGTTCATTTTTTGGGCTGTAGCACTGATTGATCGGTTGTCCAGGCACCCCTTAAGTACTCAGATGTGTTTGCACCATGCTGCGACCTTTGTGTCTAAGGTTCCCGACCAATCTCCGTCCTTCACAATGTTCGTATGGATCACTTTCGGTCACCAGGTTCATGAGCCGCTTCTCCCGTTGCGATCAGCGCATCGGGTTTGGGTCTCCGCGGCAGACGTGAGTCTGTGATCGATCGGGAATATTGCAGACAAAGGATTTATGGGTCCCAGTCCACAAGTAAAAGATAAAGACACCAGTCTTTGGTGAATGTGTAAGCGAGCCCATCAAGCCAAAGCGCGTTCTTCAAAATCGAGCATGCCTTTGGTTTGGTTTGCACTTTGGCAAAGGAACCGTCCGACAACAACTTGGGGTTGTGCTGGTCAGATCTACCCTGAGTCGCAGACATTTTGCAGATCTAGAGTCTGTTCCACGTAATCCTCCACATTGAAGGTTGGTGCATAATCAAGGAAGCTTCTGGAGACTACGGTGGACAATCAATGAAAGTGACAAACTCACAAGGGGTCCACCCAACAAAGTCTCCTATCTAGTTCTGATGCCTCAGGATCACCACAACAGTAGCATCTTGAGAGTCATTAAGCAGATTCCAGGCTTTGTCCACGCAGGTTGAGAGGACGATCTGTCCTTTTTCCGACTATCCGGCCAAGAGGGGTAACACTGCGGCGTGCAGCGAGCTTTCCCCCACCTGAAGTGATCAGGCGCACATGATGACGTTGATATTTGCTAGATTTGCTAGTGAATATCTCAAGCAAGTGACACTTGCCAACTCGGGGTCCCACATGTGTGTGCTCCCCTGAGCAGGCATGGCATAGCATTGCTTATATGCGAACACTGTCCTCGCTTTGATCTCTCGTGCCCTTCAATTGACACCATCAGCCGTCTCCAGACTCAGGAGTCTTTCGGGCGAAACATCCTCGTCATATTCGTCCTTCGAACAGCAACATGATCCACACATTCCAGTTCCAAAGTGTGGAACAAGAAACCATTGAAGGAAAGCACAGGAACATTGATCTTGAACGCGTTGGTCCTGTTCAAGACAGGCATTTAAAAGGTCGCATTCGATCTGCCATGCAACAAAACATGTTGTGTTGCAGAGTTGTTGGGTGGATTTGGGTGGTTTATGTTTGTTTTACACAGTTTTCCTAAGGCAGCATTTGTGAACTCAGCTGATTGAACCCTGGTTTTGTAGTCGCTTTTGCGGATTGAACTGCTGCATCCCAACAGATGTTGTTTGGGCCGCTCTTAGGTTGGAGGCTGCTAGTAGGTTGGAGGATGCAGGTCTGATCGAATGCCCTCAGAACGCGACATGACCGACATTTGTGCCGCCACGTTCTGCGAAGTTCAGATGCAACCTGACGAGGGGGTAAAACATGACTGACAGCACAACATTTGATATTGGGCAAACATTGTCTACTGTATTCAACCGGCCCTGGCTTTTGTTTCATCAATGCAAAAATCATCTGACAGTCAGGAAAAACACACCCCCGTTGGATTGTCCGTTCCATGGAATCTGAACCTGCTCAGGTGCGTCGCAGGGTCACATTTTCGTCCGAAGAAACCACAAGTTTCTGCTGTCATGAATTGAAGTGTTTGATGTTTCACCTTTGAAAACGTCATCCTGTTGACATCGCAAGTTGAAATGTTTATAATCATGTGTATTGCCAAAGAAAAGTCAAGGTTGAGAATTCAGCTGATTGAACCGTTGTCCTCCATGCATTTTCGTTTTAGGTCCAAGAGTGTGGGCCAAATTTGACCAAATTCAACAGATGCAGTTGCCATGTTTGGCCGACACGTTTCTTCGTGAGAATGTGCAGTTTCCGCCCATGTGGGTGCTGGTTTGTGTGTTGTGGTTTTCAGAGCTGTTTGAGCATAGCTGAAAACGGCAGAAAGCAACCTATTTCTATGCCAGACGCCAGAGAAAAGAACCAGCAAGCAAGTAGATGGTCATAGACGGTGCTTCGACAAGAAAGCCCCAAATGCTTGCTAAAGGGTAGGAATCATAGACAACAGTCACACTTCGAAAGCAAAAAGATACATTCCATTCCCCAAAACAAGGTCTGTCCCCGCTGCGATCTGAGAGTTCGGCGATTCCTGATGCTTGCGATGCTTGTGCGTGTTGCTTGCTAGCGAACTGAAGTCTTTTTGCTAATATCGGTTAAGTATTAAACAACGCGCCGATTGGTCGTAAACGCGCGCAAACAACGATCGAACGCCCCTTGTAAATGGACCCATCATGTGCATTTTGCCCCACGCACAATGGTTTCCAGCTAAACAGCCATTCTTTCGTCCAAGAAGTCTTTCGGTCAGCATCCAAGTTTGTTGGCGCGAGCTTCGAGAACAGTGCCGCGCGAAACGAACGTTTCTTTGCAACACATCAAATGCGAAGTGGTCAAAACCCTGTTTTTTTGGTGTTTTTGGAGGTAAACTCGTAATAGGTCACCTTGCGCTGGTATTGGCAGGCCCAGTGTAAAAGGCACGTTTTGTGCCAGGGTCCTGGGGACAAAAGGTTGCTTTGGAGAAGCGCCGAGGCGAAAGTGACGTTTCTTTTCTTCAGCGGATCAAGCGGGCGACCGCCTTCCAAAGATCGCCCTGTGCGTTCCAGCGAAACTGAAAGCTGTAGGCGTAGCTCCACAGCCGTTGCGACACCACCCTGGCTTCCGCTTCCATCTCACGAGCATGTAAAGACTTGGGCATGGATTTTGTAACAGCTTCTAGAAGTTGTCCAAAGCTTGCGTGCCGGCCACGGGGTCTTTAGTAAACTCATGTTTACTATGGCTCACCTCCGCAAAGGGCAGGTGACGCAAGAGGGCTATGGGCTTCCAAGCTCTGTTACTAAGACACAACGCAAGACTAAGTTTTGTACTATGCTGCGTGTTTGCGGCTGTGTGTGAAACGACTGCGTGCAAGCGGAGGAAATTAGACCCCAACCCACCCCACCACCCCCCAATAGGAACACAGTGTATATACATATGAAGCTGAACCGTAGGAACCGTAGCCTCCGCGCATGTACATCTAATTGTAAAAATGCCTTGCAAATCCGAAAATGTGCTAAAAGTTGTGATTTCGCGCGGGGCCCCGGTTAGCGTCGCAGGCACAAACAAGAACCCATAAAGTATTGGGATGTCGATGTCAATGTTATGGAATCGATTTGCTACACGGGGTAGTGGGTGAAAATTAACATTAAACTTGATTTTATTGGTACAAAATATGGCGTTTACATTTAATCGAATTTCAAAATAATTCATAAATTAAATTTATAACATATCTTTATATATTGGAAACGATATATTAGATTCGGTATGTTCTTAATTTGGAAATTATATATATATGGATTCTGTTTAACAAATCGATTTTTAAGATTGGAAATATGTTTTGATATTTTCGTTTAGAAACGAATTTTTAATAGATTTTTATGATATAATAAAATAATCCTAAATTTTTTTACAATATGATAAATAAATAGGAAAAAAACAAATAGAAAACAGAAAGAATAATAAATAAATTAAAAAAATATAAATAGAAATAAAAAAAAAGAATAAAAATAAAAAGAAAATGAAGATAAATAAGCAAAACACTTAAAATAATTTTTTATTTTGCTTATGAATATTTGGGAAAATTAAGTAGTAATAATAATAATAGCAATAATAATTATAGCAATTTAGAAGGTGTTTGATGAGGTCCGACGGTCCGCGTTAGATATTTTTTATAATTTTTTGTAGTTGATATGATTTTATGTTTAATATCTTTGTGGTTGGAATTTAAAGGAGATTTAGAAGCAGATTCTTATGGAATTGCGATGAATATATTATTTTGAAAAACATAGATTTTGGAAATTAACTAGATATTAATTTATATTTTATTTTAGATATTTTTAAAAATATAATATATATATATATTGAATTAATTCGATTAATAATATATGTTTATTTTAATTTTAAATATATATATTTAAAATTAATATATTTTATTTTTTAAAATTAATAAGGAAATATATTTGTTTTAAAATATATATTAAATATATTATATTTTAAATTTAAAATTAAATTAATATTATTGATTTATAACTATTAAATTAAATATGATAAATATATAATTAAATATATTTAAATAATATTTTGGAATTTTATCGATGTTAATTATTATATATATGGTTAGATTATATATATATATTTGATATTTACGCAATTTTACGGTTTATTGGTTTTATTATTATTTTTTTTAAACTATATATATATATAAAAAATATCGAAAATAACTAAAAGAAATCGATTAACGTTATACCGAATGATTTGTAAACAATTTATTACGTATTTAACCAAATAATCTATAAAGAATCTTCTCGACGATAATAATTACTGATATTGAAAATAAGGATATATATAGAATATTTATAAATATAAATATATATACATAATATTAATTTATTTGATATATATTATTAAATATATACTAATTTAATTCGTATATATATATATATTTTTTTTTTTTTTTTTTTTTTTTTTTTTAAGTATAGTATAAGTATTTTAACAATATATATTATTATTGTTTTTATTGAGGTGTATGTATATTTCGGGAAAATTAAATAATATGATAAGATTTTGTATGTTTTTGCGAATATTTCTTTTTGGTGGCTTTATATGTGGTATTCGATTTTAGCGTTAACGAAAAGATTCGTCGATATCGGTTTAATTGATGCTTAGGCGGGGCGATTCTTAGGATATTGAAGGGTGAAATGGTTAGTATTGGGCCTTATATGGTGCAAGTAGAGATTTATAAATATTTATGTTTTCAATGGATTAGTATTTCAGGCAGCTACCTAGGGCCTGCTTTGGGCTTTTCTACCATGGGATTCCGAAGGCAATATTAGGCCTATTAGCGGTCCTTTGCCTGGCCAATTTTTTTGGTCAATTTTGATTTGGAATTTCATGGGGAAAAGGATG